GGACGTTTTCAAGCGGAGGCTGGACGACCATCTCTCGGGTATGTTGTTGGGCTATCTTTCGGCTATGCTCCTGCAGAGTGCAGGGGGTTGGACTAGATGACCTGCAAGGTCCCTTCAAACTCTTAACATTCTATGATTCTATGTAAGCTGCTTCAGGTCCTCATTGGGGAGAAAGGTGGGGTATAAATATGGAGTAAATAATAGCTCGCCATTGTATTACTATGGACTGCCTAATGAGAATATGATTTTGTGTCATGCTGGCGTAATTTTGGTCCTGTAGATTTCAGGTGTTGGGGGGATTTCTGTTGTGGCCTGCAGGCTGCTGACTGAGGGGATTCCCTGAGGTTCCATCTTGTCCCCTATGTTTTTTAACAAACCTAGGAAATTTAGGGAATCCCCCCCCCCCCCATCAAGTCATTGAGGACTTATGGTGACCCCTGGTGAGGTTGTGAAGGCAAGAGATGTTCAGAGGTGGTTTGCCATTGTTTGCCTGTGAGTCCCAAACCTGGATTTCCATGGTGGTCTCCTGTCCAATTACTGACCAGGGCCAACCCTGCTTAGCTTCTGAGATCTGATGAGACCGGGCTAGCCAAGTCAGAATCCCGTGCCTCACAAACAGGCTCTTAAAAAGGAAGGGGGAAAGTGCTGAATAAACCGTGAAATGGAAAAACAAAACAAGGTTTCAGAAGTCCAAAGCCTGCCTGCCGTGGGCCAGGGTATGTAGGGGGACAGAAATCCATACTAAACACAGAACTCATTATGAGGGGTAATAGAAGAGAAAGGGCAAGAAAAAGGAAAGCTTGCTCCACCACACGATTTGGAGGAAAATGTGCCAGTACACCGTTACTGTGGATAAAATACTGTCGACCAGTAAGCCCTTGATTTAAACTTCACCCTCGCTGTGAACTTAGCATGCAGCCTTAAGCAGAACACTTGCCTGCCTCAGATCTCCATTTGAAATAATGAATAATTCTACAGAATTACTGCAATTGCTGAGATAATGTAGGGGGAAATACTTTAAAAGCACTAAATATTACAACTATTAGTCTAATGTCATACTAGTGTTTTCAAAGAATACACCACTGAAATTATAGATAATTGTCCCAAGGACGGGACTCCCAACCCCCCCACAGCAAGGAACGACACCAACCCCGCGGGGCATGAGGAACGTGCCACGATTCCCCCAGCACTCACCTGGGAGGCAGGACGGGAGGGAGCCAGGGGCAGCGGGACGGGCATCAGTGCCACCAAGAACACCCCCGCCGGGCCCCCAGAGAGAACCACCAGCACGGCCGCAACGCAACACACTGGGAGAGAGACATCTGCACCGGGCCTGTGGCCCGGCGCAAGAGCCCGCCCCCGCAGCAGAGCTCAGCGGCCTGGGATGGCAGGGACGGAAGCCGAGAGGGCCCCGCCCCTGGAGCCACGTCTGAGGCTTTGTAGGAGGGCGGGGCCAGGGAGGGGAAGGAGCACTGGGAGGAGCAGGGCACACTGGGAGATGGGAGGAGGGTACAAAAGGGAAGAAGGAGAGGAGGCCAGGGATGACTCCTGGATGGCAGGGTGACGCTGAGAGAGAGGGCGCCCCATCCAGCAGGGACGGGTGGTTAGGGAAGGTGACGCAACCTCCCTCCCCCGTCCAGGTGTCTGAGGCCGCAATACTCCTTCTGGCCAGGAGGGGAAAAGCATCGCGGCTGGGCTCAGTGGCATAGGGAGCTCGAGCGACGAGTCGTCATCGAGCTCCTGTGACAATAATTTCATTCGTTTTAATAATATGTAATACAGTCAGTATTTGATGTTCTTTCTGATATGAAAACATCTTTCCTAATAGCTTTGCTACAAAGCGTTCTGCACTAAATGACATCTAAAGTCCAGAAGACAGGCACCCAGGTCTACTTATTATCTTATTCAATTGTTAACTTTCACTAAAGCCATCAACTGAAGAGACTTAAATTTTCGGGATGCTTGGAAGGCTTTCTAGGTTACCATATTTCTATTTCAGATGATACTTAATGAATAAAGCATGCTGGGGTGTCAGCATAACTTTAGAGGTTACAACTTTGCCTGAAAAATAACAGGGAAGAAACAGCTACATTGGCAATAAGCAAATTATGAACTAGAATGGTCGCTTAAGTGTTTCCCTTAGAAATAATTTTTAAACAGGGATTCTTTAAGATCAGGACTCATTTGACAAATGCTTTAGGCTAGCCCTGACCTTTCACAGCTCATTAGGCAAAGTTCAGCTGCTTACCAAGGCGACCTCTGCAGTTATTAAAAAGAGAAGGGCTACTTTACATGAGTAGATAAAGAAGTAAAAGATGAACCACTAGACCACCAAAAAGAGAGCAAGGCACTCCTCTTGATATGATCAAGCTAAAAATAGTAAACGTGTGCTGCTAAAGATTCCTGTGCCATTAACAACATTTATGAAACCAAGGTGGCAAGGGGACTGGAAGAAGCCAGGCCACAGAGGCAAGGGGGACAAAGCGAAGTTTAGACACCTTATCAAGGTGGTGGCTGAAGTCAACTGTAGACCGACCCATTAGAAAGAAAGGGTAGAAGCTCCCCTTCCCCATTCAAGACAGGATACTTATTATGCCCAAAGGAATGAAGTGGTAGAAGGATCTTTGGTTAAAGTCTTCCATTTTGCTCAACTATTGGATTGGACTAGATGACTCCGGGGGTCCCTTCCAGATCTATGATTCTATGGTTGAAAATGTCTAATATTGCAGCATTATTTGCATATGAAGGAGAAAAATCTGATTTCATAGCCTCCCTTCATCTTTCCCAGTCCATCAATATTTCCCTCTCAACTAAATCCTGCCCTTTTCATCAGAACAAGCTGCAAAGGTCATTTTACCCTCGACTGAGAGAAGCAAGTCAACTGTGTCAAGGTTAGTTTTTCTCTTCCCTACCTTTAAACTGACCAATAGGAGAAAGCAGAATCTTAAGAGAATCCAGCAACACAGAGCCAGACTTCATCAGTTTCCCCCCCCCCCCACCCACCCAACCACTCAGTCCTCAATGACTTTAGGCAAATTGTGCCTTTTACATTAAGATTATTGCCTCCCTTCAAATATTTCAGAATAATGTCTTCCAAGATTGGTTTAAGATTCAGAAATATTACTAAATTACTTCAGAGTTTTAAATTACAACTTCAAAAATAATTCCTGAAACGTTGTTAACAATCCACTGCCCTTGTTGGAATCCTGCATGATCGTAAGTCTCCTCTTCTTAGTAAAAGATGGAATGGAGGCAAAGATTCTTTACCCGAATTTATTTGTGTACTCTACCTACAATGTACCAAACATGCTGCAGGCATGACCTGCTATAGGAAAGCTAATTAGACACCTAAAGCTTCTTAGGAGCACGCCTAGACTAGAATCAGGCCTGACAAGTCATCTGGAACACAATTTAAGATGACTGTGCCAGACTATCCCATATAATGAGGTGAAAAGGTTTGTTGGCACATCTGTATTATTATTTTTTTTTGGGGGGGGGGGGGGGGGAAAGCAAGGATCTATTTGTTACACTTTAAAATTTAATGGGCTGGATTCAAAACTCCATGTAAGTAACTCCGCATAACTGAGATTTATGTATTTTCCTTGGGAGCTCCCATTTCACTCTAGGAAATCTCTTTGGGGAAAGAAAGGGGAGTTTCATAAGCAGTTCATGATATTTATAGCATGGTAGTCTGCTAGCTGCGGTGGCTCAAGTGGTTAAGACGCTGAAGGTCAGTAGTTCAGCAGTTCGAGACCCAAGTGTGCTGCAAGACGGAGTGAGCTCCGGTCTCTGGTCCCAGCTCCTGCCAACCTAGCAGTTCGAAAGCAGGAAATTGCAAGTAGATAAATAGGCACCACTTCAGTGGGAAGGTAACAGCGTTCCGTGCGCCTTGGTGTTTAGTCATGCCAGCCACATGACCACGGAAATATCTTCGGACAGCGCTGGCTCTTCGGCTTTGAAATGGAGATGAGCACCGCAACCCTAGAGTCGGATTCGACTGGCTTTCGAGCAAGGGAACCTTTACCTTTACTTTTTAGTCTGCTAACTTAATAGATAATTTCACTGGGCTTCCCCAAGACCTTGGTTGGTTGTAAAGATTAGATCCGTGGCAAAATTTATGGGGGCAATAAATTAAACAACAAAGGAATAACACTAAGTAAGGCATCAGCTTATTTAATATTTTATTTCCTGCGCAAGGCTCTCACTCTATGAGCAGTGCTACACAGACAGACAGATAGATAGACAGGATCCTGACCAGTATTTAAACTGAGCCCACATCACAGAAAAACGAAGAAATTGTTCCTGCCTCCCTAGAGGGAGCTTGGGAATCACTCGATGTCCTCCGCCTCAGAGGGAGAAGAAGCACATTCTAAGTCGAAAGAAGCTGAAGTTAAAACATAGGCTAAAAAGGTAGTGAGCTATTTCAATTAATTGTTCAGTCAGCTACAGACAAAAAAAAAATGAAAATAAACATGCAATAAACTTAGGAAAGAATAAGAGAGACCCAAACAGAACCACCAACAATCTTAGCCAAAAATAAGGAGGCATTAGACAGTGCCAGTCTTTCCTTGTGACACTTGGTATCCTTTCCTACTATATCATGAGTGCTAGGCCTGCCGTCTACTACAGGGTCCTAGAGGGGACCCTCCCCGGAGATTCTTCTAAAGAACACTTTCACCATATACATGCAAGCCAACAAGTGATGACAGCCATGCACATTTACTTGGAATTAAGCTCTATGGAACTCAGAGGTACATGTTTCGAAGCAAATATTCATACAATAGGCAGTTAAATGCTGAAGCTGTTTCACAAATTATTAGGAGACACTGTACTTCCTTGTGTCTATTACCTTATGAAGTAATTAGTTATGTATCTGTATGTTAGGATACCAACACCAACAGCAAAGTATCTCAATTCTCAAAAAAACTGAACTGAATATGGATTTTAAAAGTTAAGGGATTTTTATTACAATGATTAAAACGTAAAATTAGGTAACTTACAATCGTTCGAGCAGGCTTAATCCAGCAAAGGAACCATTCTTCAATTCCGATATCCTATTGTTGCTCAGAATCCTGTAACAAATTAAAAAAGGATATTAAAATGAGATTCCAAAGGAAGAACTCCTTTAAAAAACTGCAGTAGTCCTATGGCTTATCACTTATCATTACACAGGTGCTATAAAAAAATGAGTACGATAGTTTAGGGGTATAATGTACGCAAAGTTAAGGTGCAATACCAGTAGCTTTCCATGTCATAAGCAATCAAGAAATCTACCTAATTTTTTATCCCTACAAATGTAGTTTCATCCAAGAAACAATCTCAGATGGAAACTTCATTTCAGGCATAATTATTACTGAAAAATCACTGGCACTTACTGCCCAGCAATTTGCAAAACTTGAGTCAAGAAAGAACCAATTGTTTTCTTCATGACCTCCAGCACAGACAGATTTAATGCACCAAGAGAAAACTGTGATTTAAATAACCCATTTAAATTGCTTCCCAGTCAGTGATGGGCAGATTCAGTAAAACAGACTGATTTACAAATAACAGACTATTACGTTAGGAGCAGTAGTCTGACCTTCTGCACCATAATATTTTCTACTCAGAGATAGTGGTATGTGATTAAAAATTTGGTTTATTTGTGTTTGAGTATCCAGGTTGCTGATGTAACATATAAAAATAGTGACCTAGTAAATTAAAACTATTAAAAATTTTCATATTGTAGAATCAGTAGCCGAAATATCCTAAACACAGCATCACAAAGATGAGACTCTATTTAAATCACTTTCAAGTACTTCATTTCTATACTACCTTTCAACCTTGGCTTCCAATTGGCTTCCAAAAATCAGAACTCCATATTGTAAGCATGCCAACCCCATCTGTCAGGAGGGGTCGTTTCAAACTGCAATAGACCCAATTGGGGTATCCCAGGAGCAATGTTCCCTCTAAGCTGAGTTAGCGTGAGCTAGCTCACAGTTTTTTAGCCTCCGGCTCACACATTTTTGTCCTAGCTCAGAAAGGATGGCTCCAGAGCAAACTAACTTATGCAGTAGCCAAATCACTTGCTCACAACTTTAATGCCGGTAGTTCACAAAGTAGAATTTTTTGCTCACAGGACCCCACAGCTTAGAAAAAGTATTGCCCAGGAGTCTATATGCCAGGCATCTTGACTTAAGTGGACACAAAGATGGATCCCAGAACTGGCAGGCCCTATAATCATGCCTAGGCAGTGACTCTGGGAAGCACATGAGATCTTGTTCTGACAGCTGCAACCCCCCCCCCCCTGCAGAGGTCTGCATATGCCAAACAATGGACCTGCCTCGCCCCAGAACAAACACCATTCAACCTGGACCACTAATCCTATCAGTCTCCCCTCACCTTTTCATACCACATTTCTTTCATAACAACAGCTCCCTTCTCTCCCACCTAACACAAAAGGAGGGTCACCAAGCAGCCTTGTTTCGTTTTGATTAGTTTAAATTAGCAATCCATCAGCCTTCTGAATCACCGGAGGAAGCCATCAGAGTTCCAGCCCAAATCCTATCTTACATCAGAAACTCCTCTTAAGAACATCTCCTGTTCTTCCTCCTCCATTCCTGGGAGCGATATTCAGTCATTCACAGACGCATCTAGCTAATCTTATCAGAAGCACATTAACACCATAGTTTACACCAGGACCTCACCTCTCATGCAAACTGGCATAAGTTTTCCAGGTCTTGGTTTACCCTGGGAAAGCCATTTTTGGTATTATTTTGAGGCACACTTGTCAGACTGCCTCAGGACACAATTTTCCTATAAAAAACAGCACTCAGCGCTCAGTCTCTGTGCGTTTGCCCCGGGCCCCTACTGACACAGCACCCCCAAATTCATTTGGGTCACTCTCCATCTTCACAGACTCTGCTCCATGGATCCCAGATCTCCTGGATTGGTAAAGTATATTTCCACAACACCCTCTTGTTATTCCTGCTCACCTCTGTACTTCCATTACTTGTGCGTAATGACTTATCGTGTATTTTATTTCTGTAGGTGTGCATTGTATTAGGATTTCTTCTTTTAATAAAAACAACCCTTTTGGTTAAGCAACAGACTGGTTATTGGGAGCCCTCTTAAAGGGAAAGATCCCCATAAACATAGGTGGTACCTCTTGCTGAGGCCTGCCATTTAGCTAAATTCCCCCAGAAACTAAAGGCAGAGATTCAAGTTCTTAAATCTACGCTGGTAGGGGTAACAATTTGCGACCCCATGGACCAGATCCCGCCAGGCCTTCCGGTCTTCTGCCGTCCTCTGAAGTTTGCTCAACTTCATGTTCGTTGCATCTATGACACTGTCTAACCATCTCATCCTTTGCCGTCTCCTTCTTCTTTAACCTTCAATCTTTCCCAGCATCAGGGTCTTCTCCAGGGAGTGCTCCCTTCTCATTGGGTGGCCAAAGTATTTGACCTTCAGTTTCATTATCTGGCCTTCCAGGGAACAGTCAGGGTTGATTTCTTTTAGGATGGACTGATTTGACCTTCTTGCAGTCCAAGGGACTTCTCCAGCACCATAGTTCAAAAGAATCTACAATACAACAGAAGTTAAGATCTCTCTCTGTCTCCTCCCTTTCTTAATGTGCATGTGGAGGTACAGGAGCTAAACATACACAAACTCCTATTCTTCTTGGTCAAGTCTCTTCCTCCAAAGAATGAACGGGGAGGGGAAAGAAGTTTATAAGCCACTCTGAGACACATTTGGGTAGTAAAGGGCGGGGTATAAATCCAATCTCTTCTTCTTCGTCTTCATTTGCTGTGGTTAAATTAGTATTTAGTGTTCAAAATCCCTGGCACAATAGTCAAGAAGAGAAATACCAGAGTGCAGAAATGATCACATATGGTCAAGTGTGAGGAAAAAGGCTTCCTCATAAGTGAATACTGGTCCTAAATAAGCACACAGCTCTGTTCAGATTCTTAGTTAAGAGATCAGAACACGCAGAGCGCATGTCTTAAATGCAGGATCTCTCAATTTACAGTTTTAACATCAGCCATTTAAAAAATCTAGGTAATAGGCTGGATCGACCCATAGTCTCACTCAGTATGGCAGTTCATTGTATCTTAAGGATGAGGCCTTTTCAGAAACAGAGAACGCTCAGACCTGAAATTAATGAGCTATAAAGTGCATGAACATAAAAGAGTCTGAGGCTGGAAAATAGCAAACCTTAAGCATGAATGGCATTTTAGTGGAGGGGGAGGGAGCAGCAGCAACCAAAAAAAGGAAACTCAAGTGCAGGTCTTGGTGCAGTTTCAAAACAACCAAAGTGATTCAAGTCCAAACTAGTAAAACCCCACAGGGATGCTAGCTCAGTGAGAAAACCATTTGTACTTGAATTACAAGTCTAGCATTATAACATCCAAGACTGTTTAATCTCTGTGGGCAAAAAGGGAGCCGAATGACTTGTTACGTATTATGAAGAAAAATACATACAGCAGCATACCTTCAGTTATTTGACAAGCTAAACAAAAAAAAAATTAAATATTTGTATAAGTAATGGAAAGGCAGTAACCATTCAAACACACATGAATCAAATGCCTATTCACAGGCCAAATATTTTGCTAGAACATGAAAGTAGTTTTGATTTTATTTATTTATTTTTTGCTTAGGCTATCTATTTACTTAGCATTGCAAACAGAACACACACCACACCCAAAAGCATAATACTAAAAGCATAATGCATGTACAAAGCAGTATTAAGAATGCACACACGGCAGTCCAAAGACGTCTTACCCGCGCATGAATCTCCACTTTGGCAAGTGCAGTGACTGGAGAACTGAGCTCATGGAACTCATGTATACTTTTAAAGCTCTTGAGTGGGACCACAATCTAAAGCGTGGAACACGCTACAAAAGGCAACACTAATGAAAGTCTGCATTAAAATATTAGATACAGAGGCTTGGGTCCCACACAGATACAGAAATGAAGCTTGGGTCCCACACAGGATTTCCACAGGCACAAGAGAGTGTTATTTTCACCAATTCCTTCCTCCTGTCACAGACTTCTACTTCCTTCAGTGCTGTTTGGTGGGAAAGATATCCTTAGGCACCAAGAAGCAACATTTAGGAGCTGTGGTGGCTCAAGTGGTTAAGACGCTGAACTGCAGGCTGTGGAAGGTCAGTAGTTCAGCAGTTCGAGACCTGAGTGTGCCGCATGATGGAGTGAGCTCCCGTCTCTAGTTCCAGCTCCTGCCAACCTAGCAGTTCGAAGGCAAGAAATTGCAAGTAGATAAATAGGTACCACTTCGGTGGGAAGGTAACAGCGTTCCGTGCGCCTTGGTGTTTAGTCATGCCGGCCACATGACCACGGAAACTTCTTCGGACAGCGCTGGCTCTTTGGCTTTGAAGATGAGCACCGCAACCCTAGTCGGACTTGACTGGCTTTTGAGCAAGGGAACCTTTACCTTTCTTTACCTTTAAGAAAGCCATCTTCCTCTCTAGGATTCAACTCAGGTGCTGCTTGATCCTTACACTACCATCAAATTATGGAACAGTTTGGTTAAATTCCTAGTTTTATACCCCGATTTTAGAATCTAATTTTTAGACCGTTACGATGGATAAATATTTAAAATATACAGTAACTTATACACCGCAATAACCAAACGCTCCAATTTGCATTGGAAAAGTAATCTGAAGTAGTAACATAGCATGAAATACTATGGCTTGTACCCTGTCACTTTACTCACCAACGTCTGAACTGTTGCAACCAATAAAGCCCTTCTTCAACTGAACTGGTCCTTCCACTTACTTCAATGAAAGACTCCTTAGCCTGGTGGAAAGCCTCAAACTTTGGTGAGCAGAGAGCTAGGACATAAGCATACGTTTTCAATAACATATACTGTTTGGGTTGTTTTATGCTTAAACTGCTGGTCTGTCAAATTTTTGTACATGCTTATTTGGGAGTCAGTTCTCCTGAACTCAACTGGATCAGAACAAACATATCTAGGACTGGCCTACAAAATCAGATGAAGTCCCAAGGATGCACACACCCATATGCATATCTAGGACCCCCTTCCTGATAGTCCCACTGTAAAAACTGGGACATTTGG